ACGCGCCCGGCGTGAGATTTAAGCCACAGGGTCTGGGACGTGAATCGCAGTCGACTACGTGGGAGTCCAGCGACATAGGCATTACACTAACTGCTGGTTCCTGATTTTTTTTTTTTTTTTAAGAGAGGTTTTTGCTATAGAGCGTGTGGACTCGCCAGAGACACACAGACAGAAAGCGAGAAATCACCCTCCTAGGAGGATGGCCATGCCACAATCCCTTCTCCTCCAGTCTCCTCTCGGGGTTTTGGGCATTCATGCAAATACGCCCTCTGTGAGTTTTAAGCCGCCAGGGTCAGGACTCCAACTGCAGTCAACTATGTGGAAGTCCAGTGGCATAACCATTACCTCATCTGCTGGTCCCCAATATTCCTTTAAATATCAAGGGGTTTATTTTGTGGCAGTTTTGTTTAGAGATGGTCTGATCCTTTTAAGATTTGCTTTTAAGCTCTTAGGTAGAACCAGATAGCTTTTATTCCAAGGCTGAACTCACCCTGCCACTCAGGCAATAACTTCAGAATATTTTTGGAGCCCCATGTATTAGATTTTGCTATCCTGGTTGGTAGGAAGAAGAACTATTCTTTGTGCTGCGTGAGCTTTGGATATTATTCTGGCTACTCTTTTCCAATGATTTTTCTCTGATCTCAGTAGTTTTCTTATACTCTTATATTGATTGGACTCATTGGAAGACTCAAGAAGAACCCTGAACCCTCTTCAAATCTACAGCACATGCATGCTCTCTTGTCTTCTCTTTCTCCCTGAGTCTCTGTCTTTGTCTGTCTCTGTGACAGTGTAAGCTCTTTTTTCTCCAGTACTCTTCAATTCAGGAACACTGCCGAACTCTGCAGTTTACCCTTTTTATTAGTAATCTGGAGATAATCATAATACGCGTGTATGTTCTTATCTTAGAGATCACTGTTCTAGACTTCGTGTTGTCTGTTGTTTGAAAACAGTTGTTTTGTCTCTTTTTCCAGATTGTTTAGTAGTTTAAGACAGAAAAGTAAACCTGGTTTTTATTAGTTCATTATAGCCAGAAGCAGAAGTTGTATCTTACTGTTTTAATTAGTGTTCCTTTTTTACTTAGGAAGGAACACTTTCTCTATCTTTTTTTTTTTAGAGGTTTTTTGCTATGGGCACGTGTGCTTGCTGGAAAGAGAGAGAGAGACAGAGAGGGATAGAAAGTGAGAAATCACTCCCCAGGGGGGATGGCCATGCTATAATCCCTTCTCCTCCATTCTTCTCTTGGGATCTTGGGCACGCATGCACATGTGCTTGGCGTGAATTTAAGCCACTGGGTCCGGGACGCAAACCGCGGCCGACTACATGGGAGTTCAGCGACATAGCCTTTACGCTAATTGCTGGTCCCTCTCTATCTTTTTGGCATGTTTGTTTTTTATTTCTTTTGACACCAGTGTCCAACCAAGCACGTAATTATTTACGGGTTGAGCATCTCTAATCAGAAAATTCCAAATGTGAGATCTTCCAAATTCTGAAACTTTTTGAAAGTTGACATGACACCACAAGCGGAAAATGTCATCCTGACCTTATATGACAGGTTATAGTCAAAATACTACAATACGATAATATTATATAAAATTAACTTCAGACTACTATGTATAAGTGTTCATGAAATATAAGTAAATGTTTTGTTTAGTGGGTTCCATCCTCAAGATAACTCATGTGTATGTGCACATTCCAATATCCAAAAATATTTGAAATCTGAAAAACTTTTGGTCCCAGAATAAGGGATTTCAGATAAGCAATACTCAGTTGGGGTCAGCTGGTGGTAACAGTTAAGGTGCTGGACTCCCACATGACCGACCATGGTTTTGAGTCCTGGACCCGACGTCTTGAAACTCATGTCAGGAGCATGTGTGTGCATACCCAAAAATCCTGAGAGGGGATTGCAGTGTGGCCATTCCCTCTGGGGGTGATCTCTCACTTTCTCTCTCTTTTTCTCTTTGGCGAGTGCACGTACCCTACAGCAAAAATCTTTTTTAAAAAAAAAGAAAAAGACATACTCAATCTATATACTTATTTTAAGATTTTTCTGTTCAGGTGACAACAGGTGGCATGGTGGTTGAGGTGCTGCACTCCCACATTGCCAACTGTGGTCCAACCTGGCAGCTTGCTGTCTCACTTCTTTTTCTCTTTCTCTCTCTTGCACATGCCCTTTAGAAAATTAAGAAATTACAATGGGGCCAGCAGGTGGTTTAGTGGTTAAGGTACTGGACTTCCATGTGGTCAACTGCGGTTCATGTCCTAGACCTGCAGCTTGAAAAATCACACCAGGTGCATGTGCATGTGTGCCCAAAATCCAGAGAAGAGAATGGAGAAGGGATTGTGGTGCGGCCATCCCCCTGGGGGGTGATTTGTCACTTTCTATCTCTCTCTCTCTCCAGTGAGCACACTGCTCTAATAGCAAAATTCGCCCTATAGGAAAATTCTCTAAAAAAAAAAAATTAAAATTACACAGGTGGTGTAATGGTGGATTCCCACATGGCAGACTGCAATTTGAATCCTGTTCTTGGCAACTTGCTTTCTTGCTTTCCCTTTCTCTCTCTCTCTGTCTCTCTCTGGTCGAATTAAAAAAATAATAACATGGGGCCGGCAAGTGGCATGGTGGTTAAGGACACTGGACTCCCACGTGGCCTACCGTGGTTTGAGTCCCAGACCTGGCCGCTTGCTTTCTCGCTTTCCCTCTCACTCTCACTCTGTCCCTTTCTGGTCAAATTAAAATAAATAAATAAATAAATAAAGTTAAAATAAAATAATTCTTTAAAAATAATAATAACAAATGTAATTAAATAATTCTATTAAAAAATAAAAATAAAAAAGATTTCTCTGTTCAGAGATTCTACAAGACCCATTTATCAATGTAGATACATGGTCCCCTGGCAGTTTGTGTCCCAGACCTGGTGGGTAGAGAAACATTCTGGATGTGTGTATGTGCATGCCTCAAATCCTGAATGGTGGGAGAGATGGAACAAGAGGGACGGTGGCATGCCCATGCCCTTTGGGGGATACTTTCTCCCTTTTTCTCTCTCTGGAGAGTACATTGTCTGGCAAAAGTTAAAAAAGAATAAAAGGAGTTTTTGTCCTAACGGTACTGATAGTCTGTCTCTTGGGTTGTTGGAAAAGTCAGGATATATTTTTATGTATTTTTCTAAGCAAAAATGCATCATGACTTTTCTTTTTTTCTTAGAGAGAGATTTTTGCTATAGGGCATGTGCACTTGCCAGAGACAGTAAGTGAGAAATCACTCTGCAGGGGGGATGGCCACACCACAATTCCTTCTGCATTCTCCTCTTCGGCTTTTGGGCATACATGCATGTGCGCATGGTGTGAGTTTCAAGCTGGCAGGTCTGGGACTCGAACCATGGTTGATCATGTGGGAGTTCAGTGATATAACCATTATGCCATCTGCTGGTCCCAATGAGCTCCTTTTTTCTAACTCCCAATTATCCTTTTGAGTTAAGATCTTTGTTCTTGCTGTTCCACCGTTTAGACTGTTCTCTTCCCATGGTTATCCAAATGACTTAATCTCCATTTTTTCACACCTCTGCTTAAATATCACTTTGTTTGGGCCAGAAAGTGGTGTGATGGTTAAGGCACTGGATTCTACCTGGCCAGCTGTTCAGTTGAGTCCCAAATTGCATGTCTTGAAAAGTATACAGACATGTGTGTATGTGTGTTTGCCCAAAATCCTGAGAGAAGAATGAAGAAGGAATTGAGGCATGGCCATCTTCCCTGGCAAGGTGATTTCTTACTTTCCCTCCTACTCTATCTCTGTCTCTCTCATGCAAATACATGTGCCCTAGGGGAAAAAAAATTCACTTAATTTTATTTATTTATTTTTAATTTGCCAGAGAGTGTGTGTGCTCGTTGGAAAGAGTCAGAGAGAGAGGGTAAACAAGAAAGCATCCTGCCCCCATGGGAAATAACCATGTCACAATCCCTTCTCTTTCATCTCTCCCTCTCTTCAGGATTTTGGGCACATATCCACAGGTGCCTGGCATGTTTCTCTTGCTGGTTTCAGGACTCAAACTGTGAGGTCAGCTCTGTGGGATCCAACCACCTTAACCACCAAGCTATGGGCTGACCCAAATATCACTTTATTAATGAGACCTCTCCAGGCTGCTGTCTATAAAATAGCACTTTCTACCTAAAGGTTTCATCTTCTTATTAAGATTTATTCTTCTGTAGAGCATTATAATTTACATTTTAATTTATTCTTGTCGCCATCGTCTGCCCTCTTCTACCCCAAATGTAAATGTCAGATGAGCAGAATCTTCATCTGATTGGTTCTTTTATTCCCACACCTTCAAAGTTACTGGTACATAGTAGATGCTTGATAAATATTTCTTGTAAGAATTAATACTTCTGGAGGGACCAGCAGGGGTTATGGTGCTTAAGGTGCTGGACACTCCCACATGCCTGACCACGGTTCAAATCCCGGACTTGGTGGCTTGCTTTCTCACTCTCCCTCTCTCTCTCTACCTCTGTCTCTGTGTATGTGTCTCTCTCTGGTCAAATTAAATAAGTCAATGAATAAATAAAATTAAATAAAACTATTATTTAAAAAGAAAGAATTAATACCTCTGGAACTGGCAAGTGGCGTGCTGGTTAAGGGCACTGGACTCCCACGTGGCTGACCGTGGTTCGAGTCCCAGACCTGGTGGCTTGCTTTCTCATGTTCCCTCTCTCTCTCTCTTTCTCTCTCCCACACACTTTGTGCCTCTCTGGTCAAATTAAAATGAATGAATGAATGAATAAATAAAGTTAAATAAAATAATTTTTTAAAAAAAGAATCAATACTTCTTTGTCACTTGGTTACTTTTCTTCTTCGCATGTTTCTTGGCAAAGTATTTCTGGATTGATTTTTTCTTTTTTTTTTTTTTTTACATTGACCATTTTTGGTTTACTATGATCCTATGGCAAATAAATATCAGACATTTATCCTGCCAGCTACTTATTAACTTTTGTCTTTCCCTCTTGCGTAGTTTACAGATAGGACCAATCCAATTGATAAACATGTTGATGTCCTGATCAATAAGTATGGATTGTCTGCTCATCCAGTTGCTCTTCAGTTTTTTGGGCATGCTGGAAAAGAACACATGGAAAAATACGGTATGTGAAAAAACTGTAAGGCTTATTACTAGTGATAGCCATGAAGTGAGAAACAATAGGTATTTATTAATGAACTGTAAAGGATGCTGGCATATAGAAGGCATAAAATATTTTCTTAAAATTAAGTTGAAGAGGGGCTGGGAGGTGATGTGGTGGTTAAGGGTGCTGGACTCCCACATGGCCGACCACAGTTTGAATCCTGGATCTGGCAGCTTGTTTTCTCACTTTCTCTCTCTCTCTCTTTGTCTCTCTGGTCAAATTAAAATAAATAAAGTTAAAATAATTCTTTTTATAAAATAATTCTTAAAAAAATTTTTTTTAAAGAAGAGAAGCTAGCAGATGGTATGGTGGTTAAGACACTGGACTCCCACATGGCTGATCACAGTCATAGTCCCAGACCTGGTTTGAAAATCATTCTGGGCACGTGCTCAGACATGCCCAAAATCCCAGGAGAAGAATGGAGGAAAAGGGGTTGTGCCATGGCTGTTCCCCCAGGGGTTATTCTTCATTTTTCCTCTCTCTACCTCTCTCTAGTGAGTGTACATACCTCATGACAAAAACCTTAGAATAAAATAAATCAAAGAAATAGTCCCTGTAGAATTTAGTTTTAGAGAAAGGGTTGGTTTTTTTTTTAATTATTATTTATTTATTTAATTCCATTTATTATTATTATTTTTTAATGTGACCAGAGAGAGAGAGAGAGAAAGGGAGAGAGAGAAAGCTAGCTGCTAGGTCCGGGACTCGAACTGCAGTCAGCTATGTGGGAATCCAGTGCCTTTAACCATCATGCCATCTGCCAGCCCCTTGAGAGAGATTTTTGCTATAGGGCACGTGCACTTGCCAGAGAATCAGAGAGATAGAAAGCAAGAAATCATCCCCCTGGGGATGGCCACATCGCAATCCCTTCTCCTCCATTCTCTCAGGATTTTTGGCATGCATGTACATACACCTGGTGTGAGTTTTAAGCCGCTGGGTCTAGGACTCAAACCGTGGTTGGCTATGCTGGGAGTCCAGCAACATCATTATTCTGCCATCTTCTGGTCCCCAGAGAAAGTATTTTTATACAGGACATTGTTCTAGTCCTTTCTGTTGTTAATAACAGAAAATACTTGGGTCTAGTAATTTAAGAAGATAAAGGTGGTTTCCTTTTTTTTTTTGGAGAGGTTTTTGCTACAGGGCATGTGTGCTTGCCAGACAGAGACAGAGAGACAGAAAGCGAGAAATCACCCCCCAGGGGGATGGCCATGCCATAATCCCTTCTCCTCCATTCTCCTCTTGGAATCTTGAGCATGCACACACACGCACCCGGTGTGAGTTTAAGCCACCGGGTCTGGGACTCGAACCGCGGTCGACTACGTGGGAGTCCAGTGACATAGCCATTACGCTAACTGCTGGTCCCAAGATAGTTTACTTAACTCATGATTCTGGAGAGCCAAAGTCTAGGGGCCATATCTAGTGAGGAGCTTCCTTTAGTGGCATCCCGAGGCCCTGCAGGCTTCATATCATGAGCGAACAGGAGAGCATGTGTCTGTTTCTGTTCCTCTCTGTCCGTTTCATTCCTCCTCCTTATAAGCCTACTAGGAGTCAATCATGGGACTCTGTCTAGTGACCTTAACCCTAATCTTCTACCAAAGACTCCACTTTTCAATACCACAGTCTGATTAAATTTTCACCTTCTTAATTCTGTTACATCCAAAGCTGAACATAAGAATTCTTAGGGGACACTCAAATCATAGCAGACATCATATAGGCAGTACCTAGAATATCCCCCAGGAAGAAAAAACTGCATAGGGAAAATAACCAGTCTTGTCTTTTTTTATCTTGAACTGTAAGTCTCATCATTTTGAATATGATAATGTGAGTTAAAGCTTGCTCTGTTAAAGCTAGGCTGTAAGGACTAGAATATAGCAATATATCAGGTAGTGGGCCAGCAGGTGGCATGGTGGGAGAGGCACTGGACTTTCATATGGTTGATCGTGGTTTGAATCCTAGACCTGGCAACTTGCTTTCTCACTTTCCCTCTCTTCCTTTCTCTCTGTTTTTCTCTGGTGAGTGCACATGCCCTATAGCAATTTAAAAAAATCATAATAATAAATAATTTTTAAAATATATCAAGTAGCTGTTACTGTGTAATAAATCACCCCAAAAGTATGCTTTTTTCTTTTTTTATTTTTCTCCCTAAGTTCATTTATTTATTTCATGATATACAGAGGGGCCAGGGCACACAGCACTCCTCAACTGGGTTTTCAAACCATGATCTATCCCCAGCCTTAGCAAGCGCAAATATGAGCACACATGTGCATACCCAGCATGTACAGAGAGGCCCCAGAAAGCGAACTCCGGACCTCCCCATCTGGGTCCATTGTGTTACCACTGCACCACCGTCTGGCCCAAAAGTCAGTGATTTGGGGGCATTTTTTATTTCCAGAGGGTCCATTCACTCACCAGAGAGAGAGAGAGAGAGAAAGAGAGAGAGAACGAACCTTCACAATGAAGAATGGTCGGGGCCAGATCCTATTTTCTCTATCCTGACAGGATTTTTAGCATGTGAGCACATGAGCCTGGCATGTTTTCAAGCTGCTGGGGCCAAGATTCGATACCTCGATTGGCCATGTGGGATCTGGCTCCTTAGAGCTTAACTGTTGTACTACTGGACCAGCCCAGACTTTTTTTCTTTTTTCTTTTTTGGTTTTGGTATAGGGCACATGCGTTCACCAGAGACCGAGAAATAGAGAAGAAGTGAGAAATCACTCTCCCGGGGAGGTTGGCCATACTGAAATCCCTTTCCTCCAGTCTTCTCTCAGGATTTTGGCACACATGCACACATACCTGGAATGACTTTCAGACCTTTGGTAGGGATTCTAAACGTTGCCGGCCATGTGGGAGTCTAGTGTTGTAACCACCGTGCCACCTGCTGGTCCCTCCTGATGTGTTTTTCAAGTGACTGGTCAGGGAATCAAACTGCAGAGTCAGCCATGAGATCCAGCCGTCTTAACCTTTATTCCATCTACTGCCCCCAAACTCAGTGATTTTAATGAATGATTAATATAGTTTACAAATGTGTAGGTCAGCTGAGAATCAGCTAATTGAAGGTGGGCTCAGCTCTTCGGGCTGGGTTTGCTCATGTGACTGTTGGTGGGTTGGAGGCTGTTTCAGTCCTAGCTGGGTCACATGTCTCTCATCCTCCTTGGACTAGAGGGCCAGCTCTGGCATGTCCTTGTCGTGATAATAGCAGAGGCACAAGAGAACAGTCAGGAACATGGAAGGCCTTTGAGACAGCTGCTGTCTTAAACTGCTCTTTCTCAGGAGAAAGAAAAATGGTCCATGTCTTTGTAATAAGACAATGCCAAGTCAAGACTGTAGTTCACATGCAGGAGGGAAGAGTCACTAAGGGCGTTAGTGTATCCATGCATAGGCAGTAAGTATGCAGATGAGGTGTTAGGTCTATTCTTAAATGTCTAGTAGCGGAGAGACAAGAGCATGTAAAAAACAAAGATATTTTCTGATTGTTATTACTTCTTTGCAGAAAATAAAACAGGTAAGGGACCAGCAGTTAGCGTAATGGCTATGTCGCTGGACTCCCATGTAGTCAACTGTGGTTCGAGTTCCGGACCCCGTGGCTTAAAACTCACACCGGGCATGTGTGCGTGCGTGCCCAAGATCCCGAGAGGAGAATGGAGGAGAAGGGATTACGGCGTGACCATCCCCCCTGGGGGGTGATTTCTCACTTTGTGTCTCTCTGTCTCTCTCTGTCTGTTTGGGGAGCGCACACGCCCTATGGCAAAAACCTCTCCAAAAAAGAAAGAAAAGAAAACAGATAACATGCCTGTGGGAAGAAGAGGGCAGACTCAGGGTCGTCAATGATAGCCTCTACATTTGTGTATTTGGTTGGCATCTATCCTGGTATCTTTAAGAGATCTCAAATTTAACGTATTCCAACATAGACTCTTTCTGTTCTCCTGCCATCTCAAAGTTGCTCCTTCCTGGTTGTCCTCATTTTAGTTAGTGGTGCTTCCATCTACTCAGATGCTCAAAGCAGAGGCATGAGCATCTTTGATACCTTTCTCTCTCTCCTCCCTCCAGTCACTCCTGTTCCTATCAATTCAATCTCCAAGCTGTATTTCAACTTCCAATTCCTTTCATTACCAGAGCTCTTCTCTTAGACCACAGTTTCTCAAATGTGGGTTGTAACCTCGTATGAATTATGGAATCACGTTAGTGGATTGAGCCCAGTATTTTTATTTTTATTCTTTTCTAGTACCTACAATTTGTTGTGTTGTATGCTATAGCTGAATTCAGAGAAGTGTGTAAAATGTAGTGAATTATCACAAAGCTGATAGCTGTGACCTAAGCCACACTCAGGTCAAAAATATAATGCTACCAACACTGACAAATTCTTTCTGTAGGTTATTTTTTTTTTTTTTGAGAAGTTTTTGCCTTAGGGTGCATATATTCACTGGAGGGAGAGACAGAGACAGTAAGAGGGAAAGTGAGAACTCATCCTCTGGGGGTGATGTCCATGCCCCAGTCCCTTCTCTTGATATCTTGGGCACACATGCACACATGCTTGGCATGATTTTTAAGCCACTGGGTCTGGGACTTGAACCGCAGTCAACCAGGTGGGAGTCCAGTGGAGTAACCAATATGTCATCTGCTGGCCCCTCTGTGTAATTTTTTGTTTTGTTTTTGGTTTTGTTTTAGAGAGAGAGAGAAAGTGAGAAGACAAGTCGCCAGGTCCAGGACTTGAACTGTAGTCGGCCATGTGGGAGTCCAGTGCCCTTAACCACCATACCACCTGCCAGCCCCTCTGTAGATTATTTTTGTCTTAAAAAACTTTGTGGCTCTCAGGACCAGTAGTTAGGGCGCAGGATACCCACATTGTCGACTGCGGTTCAAGTCCTAGACCTGGAGGTTTGCTTTCTCACTTTCTCTTTCTCTCTCTCTCTCTCTCTCACTCTGTCCCTCTCTGGTCAAGTTAAAATAAATAAATTCAAAACAAAACAAACAAACAAACAAAACACTTTGTGCCTCTCCTGTGTATCTTTTTGTGTCACACATTAGCCATTTCTGCAAGTCTTGTTGAGGTAAGTTCTTATCTGCCATGGTCCCTTCTGAGATGACGGAGGACTGTTCTTAAGCTTCCTATCAGCCCTTTGTTTGCAAAGGTTTGTGAGGCACAGCTTTTTGTCTGTCTGAACTGTGGTAACATCATCTTTGATCATTCTGAGATTTTTTTTTTTTTTAAGAGAGATTTTTGCTGTAAGGTACATGTGCTTGCCAGAGAGAGACAGACAGACAGAAAGCAAGAAATCATTCCCAAGGCATTTGGCCATGCCACAATCCCTTCTCCACCATTCTCTCAGGATTTTGGGCATGCATGCACACTCGCCCACTGTGAGTTTTAAGCCACTGGGTCTGAGACTCGATCTGTGGTTGGCTATGTGGGGGTCCAGTGACGTAACCATTACATCATCTGCTGGTACCTAGATCTTTCTGATATCTTAACAAAAATTTTGTCATACCCTGGATTTCATTTTTCATTTTCTTTTGTTTTGGTCTGAGAATATGTGTGCTTGAAAGAAAAAGAGAGAGAGGAAAAAAAAAAAGAGAGTGAGCGAAAGTGAGAGTGAGGCATGGTCACATTCAAGTTCCTTTCTTCTCTCTTTTTCCATCCTGTTGAGATTTGGGGTATACACACACATCCATCATGTTTCTACAACCTCCAGAACTGGGATTCTAACTGCAGTTGACTGTGTGGAATCCAGTTCCCTATACATAGTACTTAAACCCTGCACTACAGGGCCAGCCCTAGTTGTCTTCCAGTCAGTGTGGCTACAATCAGTACTGGTGTCTGTGCAAGGGAAATGTGGAAATATTTAGTAGAGCACTGGGTATCAATGCAACATTTGTTAATCAGTAGATCAGCAGGTAATGTGGCTAGCAGATCAGCAGGTAATGTGGAGGGTAAGGCAGCTGAATCCCACATGGCCAACTCCAGATTCAAGTCTTGGACCTGACAGCTTGAAAATCACTGGGTCCGGAGACCAGCAGTTGGTGTAATGGCTGTGTCGCTGGATTCCCATGTAGTCGACTGCTGTTTGAGTCTTGGACCCGGTGGCTTAAACTCATGCTGGGTGCGTGTGTGCCCAAGATCCTGAGAGGAGAATGGAGGAGAAGGGATTGCAGCGTGGCCATCTCCCCCGGCGAGTGAGTTCTCGCTTTCTGTCTCTCTGTCTCTCTCTGTCTTTCTGGTGAGCACATGCACCTTATAGCAAATACTTCTCAAAAAAAAAAAAAAAAAAATAAAAAAAAAAAAAAAAAAAAAAAAAAAAGAAAATCAGCCAGCCTGTGTATATGCATGCTCCAAATCCTGAGAGGAGAATGGAGGAGAAGGGATTGCAATGTAACCATCCCTCCGGGAAGTGGTTTTTCATCTTCCCTCTGTGTCTGTCTCTTTCCAACTAGTGCATGCATTCAATAGGCAAAAAAAAAAAAAAAAAAAAAAAAAAGTATTAACCTACTAATAAATATTTGCTTTCTCTACAGGAACAAAACTAGAACACTTTGCAAAAATTGGATGGAAAAATCATAAACATTCCATTAATAACCCGTAAGTATTTCAGAGATGGTAAATAATGAGAATCTGAGTTATCCTAGTATATGGAACTTTATCATTGAAAAGCAAATGCAAGACCTCAAAGATGTTAATAGGAGCCAGCAGGTGGCATTATGGTGAAGGTGCTAGACTCCCACATGGCTGACCATGGTTTGAGTCCTGGACCTAGTGGCTTGCTTTTTCACTTTCTCTTGCTTTCTTTATAGTCAAATTAAAAAATAAATAACTCTTTTAAAATATATATATTAATTAGAATTTTTTTCCCTGTAAGTCTTGAACCCAAGTACATTTGTGATCACTTCCCAGTTATAGTTTTGGCCTCTTTATATTTAGAATACTATTTAAGTATAATGGTTTTTACAAAAGAATGCGAATAATTCTTAATGAAAGTTGTAATTAACCAGGCATTGCAACTTTAGTAAATGAAATTTATTGTAATAATTTTAGTTGGAAATAACAAGGCATTTTTAAGTAATTATTTACTTCTTTTAAAATTTTTTTTATCAATTAAAACATTTGTAAAATGCAAATGGGATGCATTCTAATTACTATGGAGTCATTAACTCTTATCTAGTAGAATGGTGTGGTTGTTTCTATCCTAAAAACTAATCTGAAATAAAATTATTTCAAATTTATCAGTATAATCTTTGAATCCCTAGCACCTAGTTCAGTGTTTGGCTCATAGCAGGAATTTAGTGGTTGCAGAATAAAATTGTTCACAGGGGATTGAACTAGTGCTGTGTAAATAGAATCTATAACAGCAATACTACTACGCAGTAAACTAATAGAGGTTAGCTTTACTAGTTCTAACTGTGTGTCACCGTGCCAGGTATTTTTATGTACATTTTCATTTATCCCTCTCAAGGACCTCATAAAGTAGATGTTTTTATTTTCATTTTATAGATGAGGAAAATGGGGTTCGCAGAAATTAGGCAAATTTGCCCAAATTCATTCTATGCAATAGCAAAATAATAAATATATACATATATGTGTGTGTGTGTGTGTGTATATATATATATATATATATATACACAGAGTTTTCCTCATAGTAGGTTGTAAACATAATAGGTGCTCAGCAAATTGTTTATGTACTTGTTAAACAAATTTTGCCATATTTATTTATTCATTTAAAGTTTATTTTTGTATCCATTTAGTTCATGAGGGAGATGATGGAGAAAACGTAGATACCCTTCACAGGGCCTCACCATGTTCTGATCCAGCCAGGGTCATAAGTGTGTGTGGGTGCACCTGATATGCTCATGTTGACCCAAGACCTGAACCCAGGACTCCCTGAGGGCTCCAGCACCATGCAGCAGTGCCCAATTGCGCATGGGCCATATTTTGTCACAATTGATAAAAACCATGACGAGGAACATTTTATTCCATAAGTAGATCATTATGACATATTTCTAATACTTCTTGCTGTTTCTACTTCTCTGCATTCTTTTGATTTTAAATTGATGTTTTAATTGAGGACACACCTAGTTAACAAATGACACCTGATCCCAGACCCTAGTTCTAAGGGTATTTTATGAAAAATCTAAGGGTGTTAAGAAAACTTTAGTGAAATCTCATTGCGTGTATGATAAATTCAGACTCCTTCCTGTGAGATAACAGGCTCGGTATAAATATGGCTTCTTTCTTATTTCCTATCATTTTTGTGGATATTCTCATGCTCTGGCCTCACCAAATCACTTGGTTTTACCAAAGTGCTATTTTCAGCACTTGTCTCTGTGTTTTTGCTTATGCTGCTAGCTGTCCCTAGAATATCCTTCTGTCTTTCTTTTATTTTATAAACATCTTTCTACCAATCAAGTCCTATCCCAAATATCATTGCCTCTTTTTCTTTTTAAAGAGAGATTTTTGCCATAGGTCGTGTGCTCTCACTGGAGAGACAGAGAGAGACAGAGAGACAGAAAGTGAGATATTACCCTCAGGGATGATGGCCATTGCCACAATCCCTTCTCCTCTAGTCTCCTCTTAGAATTGGGGGTGGGGGGAAGAGAATTTTGGGCATGAATGCACATGTACCTGGTGTGATTTTTAAGCTGCCAAGTCCAGGACTTGAACCACGGTTGGCCATATGGTAGACCAGGGACATACCATTGCACCATCTGCTGGTCCCCTTTCATCACCTCTTTTAATACCTTAAAAAAAATTTTTTTTTCATTTAACTTTATTTATTTACTTTTAAATTTGACCAAAGTGAGAGAGAGAGAAAGAGAAAGTGAGAAAGCAAGCTACTAGTTCCAGGACTCAAACAGTGGTTGGCCATGTGTGAATCCAGTGCCCTTAACCAACCGTCACCTGCCAGCCTCAACACTATTATTTTTTTTTTTTTGAGAGATTGTGTGTGCACTTGCTGGAGAGACAGAAACAGAGAGAAGGAAAGTGAGAAATCACCACCAAAAGGGGGGGTGGGTGGCCATGCTACTATCCTTTTTCCTCCAATCTAAGGATTTGGGGCATAAACACACCTGGTGTGTTTCGAGCTGCCAGCTCTGGGACTTGAACCACAGTCAACCAAGTGGGAGTCCAGTACCTTAGCTGTCATGCCACCTGCTGGTCTCGTAACACCTTTTTATGCTCCTGGGCATAATTGCATTTTCTCATGAGCTTCATTGTGCATTCTGCATTGCTCTGTAATAGCACATTGCACTGTACACCCTTAGTTACGTAGGACTGTTTCCCCTCTTGTTTGAGCAAGTGTTTGTCTCATCTCTGTATCTGCAATAGAGCAGGGCACTTAGAACATGGTAAGTGCAACAAAACTTTGCTGTTGCTGTGCAGGAGAGTTAGGACCAGCATTTTTTTTTCCCTTAAATCATTTATTTCTCTGAGAATCAAAACCTCCAAGTCTTTCTCTCACTTAATTCCTTGTCTAACCAGACACTTGTTTATTTACCCATGTTAAAAGAAAAATAAACCAGCCAATTTAATAGAGTTTTAATAGAGCAAATCTTAACACGATTTAAATCAGGCAGTTGTGTCCGGACTTCCAGATAACTCCAGCCAGCCTCGTGGTCAACTCGGCCTTTTACGTTGGTAGAACAGGAAAGTGAGGCGTGCAGTAAAAGGAAGTGTTGTACACTAGATGTAAGTGAGGGAGTGAGTGAGGTAGTGAAATCAGTGGTTACCTTATGAAGTTTGTCTGCATTCACACAGTTTAAAAGGTGGGATGCCTGTGATTGACTAAAGCCTAGCTGCTGTGATTGGCTGTAACTTAGCAACGAGCTCAGAAAAACAGCCTAACATATATGGTTTCAGCTTATCCATAAGAATCAAAGTGTGGGAGTACAGCGGCTGTTTTAGGCCAAAATGGTTTAATTTAACATCCATTATGGCATTCTTCTTAAAGAAATTCATTTATCCAACAATTATGTATTTAGTAGGCTACTCTGTGCAAAACAGTGCTTTATCTGGATGTGATACAAGACAGGAAAATTCCTTGCTGCTCCATGGAGCTTCTATGCATATTATAAGTTGACCAGGCAAATATTATTTCTGGATGGCATTTTTATCATTTAAAACTCTTTGAAGCAGCCAAGAATAGCCTTCTGGGTTTGGCTTAGAAATTTTAGATGTTAACTTCTTACACTAGTTTTTTCTTCTTCTTCTTTTCTTTCTTTCTTTTTTAATGTGGGAGTGTGCATGCATGTAACAAAAGGAGAGGGCAAAGGAGTTTGCACCCTTGACAGAGGCTCCTTATGCCACAATCCCCTGTCCCTAGTCCTCTATCTCCTCAGGATCCTGAGTGTTTTTTTTTTTGGAGAGGTTTTTGCTATCAGGCGTGTGTGCTTGCCAAAAAGACAGAGAGAGAGACAGAGAGACAGAAAGCAAGAAATTAACCCCCGGGGGGATGACCACACAGCAATCCCTTCTCCATTCTCCTCTCAGGATCTTGGGCACACAGTCACGTGCCAGCAGGAGTTTCCGCCCCCGGGTCCAGGCCTCGAACTGCAGTTGACTACATGGGAGCTCAGCAACATAGCCATTACGTCAACCACTGGTCCTGTCTGGTGTGTTTTATGGCCAATGCAGGGTTCCAAACCTGTCGCTGGCCATGTGACTTCCAGCCTTACAAGGCAGTACATGCCACTGTACCATAGCTGTTGGACTTTGTATTATGTTTTGCCTGGATAGTGAAGAAAAGGAATTTTGGGTTTTCCAACCAGTTACTAGAGAGACTCTTACTTATCTCTAAGAAGGTTGAATTAAAAAATTATCCTCAGGGACCAGCAGTTAGCATAATGACTATGTTGCTGGACTTCCATGTAGTCAACCGTGGTTTGATTCCCAGACCCAGTGGCTTAAACTCATGCCGGATGTGTGTGCACGTGTGCCCCATATCCTGAGAGGAGAATGGAGGAGAAGGGATTGCGGCGTGGCCATCCCCCCTGGGAGGGTGATTTCTCACTTTTTGTCTCTCTGTCTCTCTGGTGAGTGCACGCACCCTGTAACAAAAACCTCTTCAAACAAACAAAAAAATTTATCCCCATGGCATAGTGATTAAGGGAGCTGATCCCACATGGCTGACTGTAGTTTGAATCTTGGCCCTGGTGGCTTGAAAAACATTCTGGCCACCTTGCCTGGCCAAGGTCCCTGTGGATGGAGAAATGAAGGTGAAAGAATTAGACTATGACCACAGCCCACAGGGGGATACTTTATTCCTTTGTCTCTCTGGTGAGCATATGCACCCACTGGCAATTAAAAAAATTATTCTGAAATGTTTCTTCACAAATTATAAGACTGTTGAGCCATCTGGTGACATGATGGTTAAGGTGGCTAGATCTCATATGGCCAACTGTACAGTTCAAATCCCAGACCCAGTGGCTTGGGAAACACACTGGGTGGATGTACATGTGTGCCCAAAATTCCAAAAGGAGGGAGAAATGGAGGAGAAGGAATTGCAGTGTGATCATTCCCATATGAGGTGCTTTCTCTTCCTTTCTGTCTTTCTGCCAAATGCTCACAACCTTGGTACATTTTTAAAAAAATCAAATTAAGAAAAAAATATTGTTGTTGGAAAATAACCAACTCTAAAAAATTAATAATAATTAATGGGGTTTATTTCCAAGCAGAAATATGAGTGACCTAGCCCTGAAAAGGAGGCAAATATGGCTTTCTCGGGGTGATATAGTCAATGATGATTGTCCTATAAAACGTCTTACAATTTGTGTTATACATAATTTCTACATCTTAATTCCTACAGTTAAGAAACTAATTTCTTGGGACCAGCAGTTAGCGTAATGGCTATGTCGCTGGATTCCCACGTAGTTGACCGTGGTTCACATCCTGGACCCAGTGGCTTAAACTCACGCCGGGCGCATATGTGTGTGCCCAAGATCCCGAGAAGGGAATGGAGGAGAAGGGATTGCGGAGTGGCCATCTCCCCTGGGGGGTGATTTCTTGCTTTCTGTCTCTCTGTCTGGTGAGCGCATGCGCCCTATGGCAAAAACCTCTCAAAAAAAAAAAAAAAAAAAGAAACTTCTTTGACAAAGAGAAGAGGAAGGTTATAAGGTCCTTTTTAGTACATTACAATGACAGATTAGTCTTTTATATAAGCATTGCTAGAGAAAGATAGTCATTTATTACCATATGAAGGCTGTTCTGTTTACAGTGAGCTAGGGTATACATTCAAATAATTACCTCAGAGAGTGGGTGGGTATAGTCAAAGTCAAGAACTTTAAATGTAACATCTACACTTACATGGACCTCTCTTGTCAAACAATCTGGATAGATGATTTTAGTTCTAATCAATTTTCATTTGGGAAGTTACACTTTTACAAAACAAAAAAACAATAAAAGGGCCCACTTCTTTTTAAAAATTATTTATTTAATTTTATTCATTCATTTATTTTAATTTGACGAGAGAGAGAGAAAGAATGGGAGTGAGAAAGCAAGCCACCAGGTCCAGGACTCGAACCATGGTCGGCCATGTGGGAGTGTCCAGCACTTTAACCACCACACCACCTGCTAGTCCCAAGGGCCCACTTCTTTTAGAGGGTCTCAGCTTGCTTTAATATCCTTTAGTAATTTCTCATTTTCTGTAAAATGTCCCTTCCTAGTCTGATCTCTGTTCATTTCTCTGCCCCATCTTCTTTACCTGACCTCCACATCCCAGTCCCCAAAATGTTTTGCCCTTGCTTTAGTGAAACTTTTCACCTCGGGGGACTTTGCACGCTGGTTTTTCTACCAGGCATCCTTTCTTCTCCATGTCTTCATCCCATGGGGACCTCGGGCATGCACACACATGACCATTTTCTCTCTTCTACTTCTTATGTGTCTAGCCTCATAGAGGAGGCCCCCTCTGGTATTGTTGCAGAAAACCAGATGCTTAGGAATGGAAAGCAGCACTTGGAGAGATTAGGATACCTGTTTTTTACACTGGTGGGCACAGAGGAGTTAACTCTCTGAATCTCTGGCCCAACTGGGGGTTGGACACAGTCTTTCATGGGGGAATTGGGGAAGGGGAGGTCTCCGGATGTTAGGAATGGGGAAGGGACTCAGAACCTGCCCTATGCGCATCAAAGGGAAGAGGCAGAGAAGCAGGAAGTCTAATCTATTCAAGGTACTAATCTATTCAAGGTTTTCAGGTTACCTTGTAGCTCCGGGGAGGGGCAGTAAGTTTGCTGGAGGACAGAAACTTCAGGAGGCTATCAGCTCTGAGTTATTCATTAATTCAGGGTCCTTCCATCTCAGTATCTGCATTTGATGTATTGATATATCCTGTGTGCTCTCAAAGCACCCTCTTTAACACTTCTCTCAGAACACATGTTATATTATACTGTACTAGAATTGTGCGTTTCTTTCTTTTTTTAGAGAGATTTTTGCTATAGGGTGCATGCGCTTGCTGGAAAGACAGAGACAGAAAGTAAAAAATCACCCAGGGGGGATGGCTGTGCCACAATCCCTTCTCCATTCTCCTCCAAGATTTGGGCATGCACGCACACTCACCTGGCATGTTTTAAGCCACTAGATTCAGGACTTAAACTGTAGTCAGCTATGCGAGAGTCCAGTGACGTAACCATTACAAAATCTGGTGGTCCCAGAATTATGTATTTCTTTGCTGTAGAATCATATTGAGTTTCTTGGGGGTAGGGTTCCAGTGCCTAGGACAGGAATGTGGCACAAAAGAAATGGTTCTTTGAATGTTGATGAAGGTCAAAGTTAACCTCAGAAGATGCAAACACTAGTATGTAGATCTAAGCTACACAGGTACTTGAATTGCTTGTTATTCCCACACCAGTTGAGGTTTGGTTTTAGAATAAGTTCTTTGCAATCATCAGAGGGAAATCTGTTTTTTAAGACTGCAGATAATTTATTTCAGGTTTTGTACACTTATTTAAATGCTCTATTAGCATTGATTAAATGCACTTGCATAATATCGCTGCAGAAGTTGGCCAAATTGCAAGTCACTTAATTTTGCACTTAGAGAACTGATATTTTATAATTTGCCAGGAAAAATGTGTATATATATATATATTTTGCACTTAGAGAACTGATATTTTATAAGTTCTGGCATAAATCATTCAGCATTAATGCAGACCCAATGAGTTCAGGGCTCTGTCCTCCGTGGGACTATCCTCACTTCAGACACCAGCTGCAGGCAATATACCCAGGCCACCCACACTTCTGACCCATTAGCTATAAACTTAGGGGTTTCTACAATCCCCTTCAGGTTCAATAATGCACGAGAATGACTTACAGAACTCAGGAAAATGCTATTCTTATTATTAGAATTTTATTTATTTTATTTTATTTATTTATTTATTTATTTTTGGAGAGGTTTCTGCTATAGGGAATGTGTGCTTGCCAGAAAGACAGAGACAGAGAGACAGAAAGGGAGAAATCACCCCCCAGGGGGGATGGCCATGCTGCAATCCCTTCTCCTGCATTCTCCTCTCGGGATCTTGAGCACACATGCACACACGCCTGGCATGAGTTTAAGCCACCAGATCTGGGACTCGAACTGCAGTCAGTTACATGGGAGTCCAGCGACATAGCCATTATGCCAACTGCTGGTTCCAGAATTTTATTATAAAGTATATGTATCAGGAAGAGCCAAGTGAAGAGACACACAAAGTAACGTCTGGGAGGGTCCTATCACAGGTTTTTAGCAAGTTTTTATGGCTTTCTTCCTGGAGTCAAGACACATCACCCTCCTGGCTCATCAAGGCGTTCACCAAACAGGAAACCTCATTGATCTTCTGTGTCCAGAGTTTTTATTGGGACTATTGTGTAGGCATACTTGCTTAAATATCACGGCCACATCACTGAACTCAATCTCCAGCCCTCCTCGTTTCCTCAGAGGTTGAGCTGGCTCGAAAGTCTCACTCCTGTATTCACATGGTTGATCTTTTTGGTGATCAAACTTCCATCCTGAAGATCACAAGGGGCCCACCTTGAGCTGCCTCATTAGCATAACAAAGAGACTCCTTTTACTTAGGAAATTCCAAGGGTTTTAGAAGCTCCATGCCAGGAGCCCAGGACGAAGACCAGACAAAATTTTTATTATATAACATATGGTATTTTGGAGTTATGATTATTTAAAAAAATTCAAACAACTTGTTTACTAAAGGTTGAAACTGTTCCTAAAAGTCTGTCTTTGGTCGTGAAAAGAATATTTACATTATCTTCTCTCTGTAAGTCTGAACCAATTCATCATCAACATCAAAAACTGTGATTGCTGCCTTACGTTCTGTAACTACTTCTTTTGTACTTAGGAATTCCCAGTTCCAAGATGAATACAGCTTGGATGAAGTGATGTCATCTCGAAAAGTTTTTGATTATTTGACTGTCTTACAATGTTGGTAAGGAAAACATATTTTTAACACTTAATAAAAATCTTCTTGCTCCCCTCCCTACCCACCTCCCTGTGGTTAAACCTGTGGCTCTGTACCCACCCATAAGGCCTTTCCAGAACTCGCCAGTGTAGTCCTCACTCTGAGTTACTTCACTGGAGTGTCCTACTTCCTGCTTCTACCTGGAGACAGCCACACACACACACCCTTAACCACCATGCCATGGGCTGTTCCCGTTTTACTTTCTTCTGTCATGACTTTTACCTCCTTTTGTTGTTTCAGTTTTACTTATTTATTAAAATATGGTTTAGGAAGCCAATGTTGTCTTAAGCATTTTGAGCATTTTATTTTCCTTGCTATGTATTTCTACAGGAAAGTTTACTCTATAATAGTAGCTAAGAGTTAAAGTAAACCAAGGGGGAAAAATCACCACTCTAATGATGAGAAGAGCCTTACTGGGAGGGAGAGCTGAGCTACGTGATTTGGGTTCAGATCTCTAACATTAGAGTCATGCCTGAAAGTAAAATAGGAAAAGAGGAGTTTTTAGTGAAACAGTGAGTTTTTTTTTTTTTTTTTTTTTTTTAACAAAAATAATACACTCCACATCAGGAAGGTATGTGAATGAGCAGGTGTATGAGGAACACGGCTGCTCTGGGAATGGGTTAGGAGTTGGTTTTTTTTTTTTTTTAACAAAAATAATACACTCCACATCAGGAAGGTATGTGAATGAGCAGGTGTATGAGGAACACGGCTGCTCTGGGAATGGGTTAGGAGTTGGTTTTTTTTTTTTTTTAACAAAAATAATACACTCCACATCAGGAAGGTATGTGAATGAGCAGGTGTATGAGGAACACGGCTGCTCTGGGAATGGGTTAGGAGTTGGTTTTTTTTTTTTTTTAACAAAAATAATACACTCCACATCAGGAAGGTATGTGAATGAGCAGGTGTATGAGGAACACGGCTGCTCTGGGAATGGGTTAGGAGTTGGTTTTTTTTTTTTTTTAACAAAAATAATACACTCCACATCAGGAAGGTATGTGAATGAGCAGGTGTCTGAGGAACACGGCTGCTCTGGGAATGGGTTAGGTGTTACTTATATTTTGTGATTTTGTCAAGCCTGTTTAGGAGAGGAGGTCTATCATTGTAGCTGGCTTCTTTGATTTCTTGGGCTTTTACCTGCGCTTAGGTCCTTCTCAGGTAAGGAATCTCATGCCTAGTGTGGACTTTGAAGGTGTGAACATCCTGGTAGGGACAGTTCTGCCTGTATCAGTTTATCGCCCCCAGTGGGAAGCAGGAGGTTGGCCAAGCATCCTGATGAGTTCTTGTGTGCCTGTGCGGAATGGCAGGAGGAAAGATAATGACTTTCCCTAGGTTCTTTGAAGAAAGCTTAGGTAATACAACATAAGGTAAATGGCCCCTCTCTGTGGGAGCCAGATGGGGGAGAGGAAGAGTTGGGTTATATCCCGCGATCAGCTGTGATTGGTGAGGCAGATGGCCTTCTGCCGTTATCAGGACTGCTGCCGCGTGTCTGGCTAACTGTCCATGATGGTAGTTGCATCTTGCAAGTTACCAGACGGCATATCCTGGACGATTGGATGAGTCTTGGAGATACTGGCTGGGATGCAAGTGAACAGGTCAGTTTTATCTATTGCAGTAGGAGGGTCTGCTTATCTAGAAAGTCCAGTTGAACTTTCCAGGGTTTCTTGGGTTTGCCATCTTCCTTTGAAGCTATCTGTAAGAGAAAGGACTACTTTGAGGAGCTCTCCAGTTTCAATGAAACCAAAAATTCTCTGATATCCCCTACTCTGTCCTCTAATTTTCCAAAATTTTAAGACTGAGTTATTTGGGAGACAGTGAAGTTGGAGATTCATATACCTGTAGTAGAAACTTTATTCCACAAGGATAGGAATAACCTTTTGGACTCACTCGTTAGAAGTCACCAGAGGATGGGCAGTTGCAGTCATAGTCGTAGAGTTCCCGTCTCCTTGCCAGTGCAGCCCGGATGGCCTCCCAGAACCGCCACACAGCTGCTGCCAGCATAGCTACTGTCCATAAAGGAGCTGAACCCAGTGGGGGTGCTGCCAGAGGCCCCATGGGCAAGAGGCTGCAGCAGGAGCTGATGACCCTCATGATGTCTGGCGACAAAGAAATTTCTGCCTTCCCTGAATCAGACAACCTTTTCAAATGGATAGGGACCAGCCATGGAACAGCTGGCATGGTATATGAAGACCTGAGGTATAAGCTGTCCCTCGAGTTCCCCAGTGGCTACCCTTACAATGCACCCACGGTGAAGTTCCTCATGCCCTGCCACCACCCCAGCGTGGACACCCAGGGTAACATCTGCCTGGACATCCTGAAGGACAAGTGGTCTGCCCTGTACGACGTCCGGACCATCCTGCTCTCCATCCAGAGCCTGCTAGGGGAACCCAGCATCAACAGCCCTTTGAACACACACGCCATCAAACTCTGGAAAAACACCACAGCCTTTAAGAAGTACCTGCAAGAAACATACTCCAAGCAGGTCTCCAGCCAGGAGCCCTGACTCAGGCCGTCAGCTTCTCCTTCTGTCGTCTTACTTTCCCTTAGTTGGTCTGTCCTTGATTTCTGTTAGGACTCTCTATCTAGAGCAGTGGTGTTATTTTTGTTTTGTTTCCGTTTTTTAAATTAAGTGTCTGTTTGAGCCCTCAGGTCACACATTAAATAAATGCATTTTAGTTGTTTTTTGTAAAAAAAAAAAAGGAAGTCATCAGAAGATGGCGTATTTATCTTCAAAGGCAGACCTGGAATTCCTCACAATAAGAACTTTTTGGGAGACATTCCTTGATTAAGTATTTGATTACATTTAAGTTCTTGACAGAGGTTCAGTCTACAGGTGGAAGGCAAGTGCAAAGTTTTATTTTGCCTTTTCTTTCATGATATAAAGCATGTGAGAGAGATGGGGCCAGCATGTGGCATGATGGTTAAAGTGGTGGATTCCACATGCTGACTGCACGGTTTGGGTCCCAAACTCGGCAACTTGAGAAACGTGCCAACTGTGTGCGCATGAGTGCCCAAAATCCTGAAAGGAGGGAGAGATGGAGGAGAAGGGGTTGCAGCTTGACCACGTCCCATGAGGAGGGGGGTGCCTTCTCACTCCCTTAACCCCCCGTCTCTGTCTCTCTGGCAAGTGCACGCATCCTCAAGCAAATTAAAAAAAAAAGAAAAGAAAATGTGTGAGAGAGAGAGGGAGGTAGGGGTACCCTGGACAGGCTCGCATGCCATGATCATTTTTCTTTGGCCCTCAGACTCTTCAGCATCCTGGGCATGTACAAGGCAACTCAGGGGTGAACAGTGCTCAATTGTATGGCTTCCAGCTTTGTAGGGCACTTGAGTTACTTACCACTGTGCCATAGCAGCTGGACCTATGTTTTGTGTGTGTGTGTGTGTGTGTGTGTTTTAGTTAGTTTGTTTTGTTTTGTTTTTAGTTTTGCTACTGTGTGTGTGTGCACTCACCAGAGAGAAACAAGGGAAGAGAGAGGGAGGGAAAGTGAGAAATGGCCCACCAGAGGAGATGGCCATGGTGTAATCCCTTCTCCTCTAATCTTGGGATTTTGGACACACATGCCCATTCACCTAATGTGATTTTCAAGCTGCTGGGTCCAGGATTCAAGCCAATTATGTAGAATTTAGTGCTTTAACCTCCATACTGCCCGCTAGCTCCCATGTGCAGTTTTTAACTGTAGATTCATGAAGACAGTGTAATAACCAGCAAGCCTACTCAGCCATTCTTCTCAGCTAGAACTACTAACCCAGAAATTTTAGGATGAAGGTGGCACCAGGTATAAATAATTATTTTGACTTCTTAGTCCCACTTCAGATGGTGCTGCAGCAGCAGTTTTGGCTAGTGAGGCATTTGTACAGAACTACGGCCTGCAACCCAAAGCTGTGGAAATTGTGGCACAGGAGATGATGACTGATTTGCCAAGCTCGTTTGAAGAAAAGAGCATGATTAAAGTGGTATGTCTGAGATTCTATTTTTATTATTTTAGCTCTTTTTTTTTAAGTATTTTATTTAACTTAATTAATTTTAATTTGACCAGAGAGGGACAGAATGAGACAGAGAGAGAGAGAGAGGAAAAGTGAGAAAGCAAGCCACCAGGTCCAGGATTCAAACTGTGGTCAACCATGTGAGGAGTCCAGTGCCCCTAACCACTGCACCATCTGCCAGCCCATCTCCCCACCCCTTTATTTTAGACTTTTTTGCCATGGGAGCACATGTGCTCACCAAAGAGAGATGAGAGAAAGAGAAAAAATGAGAAATCACCTCCCTGTGGGGATGGCTACACCGCTGTTCTTTCTTCTCTCAGGATTTTAGGTGTGCATCCATGGGTGCCCAGCGTTGTTTTCAAGCCACTAGGTTTGGGATTTGAATTGTGCAGTTGGCCATGTGGGATCCATCCGCTTTAACCTCCATGCTATCTGCAGGCCCCCTGTGGCTAATTAAAAATAAATAAATAATTCTAAGAGGGCAGCTGGTGGCATGATGATTAAGATGCTGGATCCCATATGGCCAACTCTGCAGTTTAAGTCCTGGGCCCACTGGTTTGAAAAATATTCCAGGTGCATGTAAGTGTGTACCCAAAATCGCAAGAGGAGAAAGGAGGAGAAGGCATTGTCCTGTGGCCATCCCCCGGGGGTGATTTCACACTTTCCCTCTCTCTCCTTTCTGTTGGTCTCTCTGACAAGTGCATGGGTCCCTATAGCAAATCAAAGTAAAAGAAAAATCATGGACTTTGGAAAAATGTTTTGAATCCTATAGGATCTTACAAGAGTAGATTCGTATTTTCATAAAGAATCGTCCCATCCATACTTTTCAGCATATTTGACCCATGATTTGTTAATAAATCTCTTGAACCCATTCACAGGTTTGACAGGGTTTTCATATCTTATCATAAGATATGGTCTGTGAAATTCTAAGTCTTTTTTTTTTTTTTT